GCCGCCTCCAGGCAGCGTAGGGGATGCCATCAGGGCCAGGGGCCGAATTTCCAGAACGGCGCAGTGCTTCGGCCGCGGTGGGACGGCGCTGGAGAAGCCGACTGCGGCCCCCACTCTGCGCTGTCCTCCATGGATCGGTTCTCAGCGTCCTCCCGCAGCCACTCCTCGAGCAGTGCCTCGTCAACCCCCCTCGCTGCAAAGACACCCGCCCAATGGCGACGCAAATATGCGGCCATCTCTTCTGGCGCCGCGGCGTGCCCGCCGTCGGGCAGGAGGACGGCCTTGAGAGACGACCCGCGCCCAGGAGCAAGTCGGCAGAGGAGCCGGGTGCCCCGCTGCCCCGCCTGGGCTGCTGGCTGGGATTCCCCAGCCCTGTCCGCATCGGCTGCCTGCCGGAACTCCGTCAGAGCGTGGGCCCGCGCAAGCTCGATGGCATGGTCGCGGACAGGCCGGAAACGCCGCTCAAGCTGGCCATTGAGATCGCATGGATTTGGCAGAAACGTGACCAAATGGAGATATCTTTCCAAGCATGTGGAGATCTCCCCCACGGCCCCCGCCTCTGCTGCCCGCAAGTATTTCATTGTGATACCCAGCTTATCCTCGTCAGTCTGCGCAGCCACCCTGCCCCCCGAAACGCTGCCGAGATGCGAAGCCGCTTCCTTCAAGCACTTTTTGAGCAGCTGGAGCCTGCGGAGCCCCGACGCTGCGTGCTCTTCCTGGCAAGCCGCCAGGAAAGCAAGGGCCGTCCGTCGGCCGAAGTCGTCGTGCTCGACGACGGCCAGGGCAACCCCCTTGTCCTCCGCGACGCGCCAGTGAGGGGCGCGACGGGAAACCAGGACCACCCGGTGATCAGTGATTGGACAGCCGCAGCTTCCGCTCCAGAGCCACCGCCTTGATTTCCCTGTCGAGTTGGTCCGCGGCGTGGGCGTTGTAGTAAAAGCGGTCTAGCCGTGCCCTCGTCGAAGTCGAAGCGAATGTCATGCCATCCTGATGCAGCTCCTGCATGTGAAACGGCCCCCCCACGATGTTCTGGAAGTGCCGCCCTTCCCACCGATCTCGCTGACCTGTGGCCTCCGCCGATGGGCAGGCCCGCCGGTCGGCCGACTCGGGCACCCAACTGAAGTCCCCGCCCAGGATCGTCAGCACCCGGTACGGGGGAGGCAATCCGCTGCGCAATCCGCGACCGCAACTGTGCACGCAGCTCTGGGAAGGTCGGGGCGGCCGAAAGCTGAGAAGCGAACGCCCCGTACAGGTCGGCCTTGTGCACCTCCGCGCCAGTGGGAAAATATGCGACCAGAATGTTCAAAGCGTCAGCGCCGCCACGCAACGACAACACCGCAGCCCTGCCAGGCCAGATGACCGACCAGCGAGGCGGGTCCGAAAAGCCAGCCAGAAACCTGTCCTGCAGCACAATGCCGACCCCGGCATGGGCCGTGGAGGCCCCTGCAGACCACCAGGCCGAGCAGCCCGTCGGCGGTCGCCACATCAGATGGCCGCCCTCCGTGCCGTGCGCTTCCGTGATGAGAACGGCATCGCTCCGCGCCAGAAGGGACCGGAGGTACCGCATCTTCATCTCTCGTCGCCCCTCGTCTGCCGTGAATAGCGCCTGCGCGTTCCACTCGGTGAGCGTGAAATCCCCACGGTACGGCGTGAAGTCGCGCTGAACCCACGGTGGTGCTGATCCTGGCTCTGGGGCCCTAGCCGAAGCTAGCACAGAGAGCGCCAGCATGGCAATGCTTGTCCGGGGTGTGTGGCCCAGAGCTCGGTGAAGGCGCTGACGACGGTAGAAACATATGGGCAGATCCATGTTGCCGTGGACCCAGCCTCGTGGGACCAAGTCCTGCTCCTGAAATTGCAAGTGCGGCAGATGTGGTAAAAGACGATCCTGAAAAGAAAATGGTGGGCCTCTCGGCCGGTCCCTCGAACTAGCGACAGCGTTGGCCGTGCCCACTGGCGGGTACGGCTGTGAGCGGAGGCGGCCAGCGCCATTCGACTCTGAAGTAACGGAGCGGAGATGCAAGACGACCTCGATGCACCAGCCCTCCACGCCGCTGGCGGACACGAAATGAATTCCAGCATGCATCGGTACGGCATCTCGGAGACAGGGAACTGTTGCCCCTGCCTCCCCTGGCCGTTTCCCGGCCTGCGCAAAGCCTCCACCGTGTCGTTGGAGACGGCAATGCCAACCAACTCCCCACCTACCTGGAGCGTTTGACCGTGCAGCCCGGCGTACACGCGTCGTACAGCATCCTGGCTGTCCAGTGCAAGCGGCACCCGCCCTGGTTCAGCAGCAAGGTCTTTCGTCGCCAAGTGGACGTGCTCCCCGGGCCGGGCGTCGCGCGAGCAGTCCGTCTCTGTCAGCTGCAGGCCCACCGTGCTCACCAGGTGGTTCATAAGCAGGCGGATCACTGCCACGTCCTCGCGACCCACCTCGCCTAGCAAGGAGACCTCGGTGATGTGATCCAGGTGCGAACCCACATGGCGGCTCTGGCACCGACTTGCCGCCATGGCGCCAGGCGTGGCCGAAGGGTGAACTATTGTCCGCCCGCCGCATCGGGAAGCACGCCATTTGAGGCGGGCTTTGGCTTCGTTGCAGTCCTCCCTCAACACAGTGCCCATGGGGGTCGTCCACACTTCCGCGTTGGCGTCTGTGAGCACGAGGAATCCGTTGCGCTCCACCGCCGCAAGTTGGGAGCACAGGGGCCAGTAGTGCCGCAGGTTGGCCCCGGAAGCCTCGAGCACCTGCGCCGCCCCTGCCGTGTACAAGGTGCTGAGGCCGCAGTGGACCCGCTGTCGTAGGTCCTGGAGCTGCAGCAAGACGTGCAGATCGGCCCAATCCGACGTGCAAGTCGGCCCAATCCGTCCGCTTGCTGCAGGAGTTCACTGAGGGTGAAATCATGCAGCACTTCGAGCTCGTGCAGGCGGCGACGGCAACGGCGCCTCAGGCAGAGCCGGAGGTGACGGTCGCATTCCCTGTCAATTGGGCGGCCGCCTGGGATATGATTGCGTCTCGGGGGACCCGTGGAAGCGCTTGGGCCTCGCACTGTACGAAGGTTCTGCGCCTACCGCTACTCTCATCACGACCCGGTCTCGCCTTGGTCGGCCACTCTGCGGCCTCGCAGGGGCTTCTGTTTTGGGCGGCGACCGAGCAGCATTTGGCGGGGACGTTCGCCGCCGCTCTCGCCACGGCCGAGGCGCACTGCATCGACGACTTGGCCCCGCTGCCCCGGGAGCGTCGCAAGCTCAAGGCTGGCCAGTTGCCACTGCACCGGGAGCTGGGCCCCAGGCGCTTGCCTTGCGACGGGCCAGTGCGCCAGCCCCTGGGGAAAGGGTCTTCACGCAGCGGTCGGGCGTCCTCGGCTCCGTCGGGGCTCAGGTGCCGGTGCCGGCTCGGGCCATCCAGGAGGCCCGCCAGCTGGGGCTCTTGGCGGAGAAGGGGGACGCACGACTGTGGGACTCCCTAGTGGGCCAGGCCGTGGTGATCTGGGCGCCGGGCGATGAGAATGCGCTGACTCGCTGCTTAACGGAACTGCTCCGGCTCCCGCCGGAGAAGCGCCCTCCTCTCCACCCGTATGGTCGCGACTGTCCCGCTCGTGCACGGCATGACCAGCGTTGCCGGCGTCCTGGACCTTTGGTGGCCCCCGCTGCTGGGGTCCAAAACTTGCGTGACCGCCCTCGTCCGCGACTCTATACGTTCACAGTGTCGCCCACGGAGGTCGTCCTCCCGAGCCAGGGGGGGCCGCGGCATGCGCGCACAGGATTGGCCATCTTCACTGAAGGGGCCCCAGGACACACAAATAAATACACACATATAGAAATATTCCCCCTATTTTCACATATTTTCTGGGTGTTTGTCTTCCCCCCCAGTTCCCATATTTTCCCGTATGTTCTGAGGAATCGACGATTCATTGTGTCTGTGTGCTCCTTCCCCTCCTGAATCTTCACGCTCCGGCACGAGGGCGAAAGGGCGGTGCCGCGGCTCTTGGCCCCAGCTGCCCCGCCGTGGGCGCTGCCTGCTGTGCCTACCGTGCGGCTCGATCTGCCGGCGCTGGCGCTCCCGCGGCGGTCTTCCCCGAGCTGCTGCGCCTGCACGGGGTCGTCTGCCGCGATCCTCAGCGCAGCATTCTTGAAGGGGCCCCAGGACACACAAATAAATACACACAAATAGAAAATATTCCCCATATTTTCCCATATTTTCTGGGTTTTTGTCTTCCCCCCCACTTCCCATAGTTTCCCATATTTTCCAGGGAGTCGACGATGAATTGTGTCTGTGTGTTTCTTTTCCTCCTGAATTCTGAGCACCCAGGACATACCTCGTGCCCGGTTGGATCCATTGCGATCGACAAGTGATGAGCATTTCCTCGCGGCGATGTATTCGTTCGGCTGGCTGGGCAGTTGGCTGGCTGGCCAGACGGCTGGCCGGCTGGCTGGCCTTTGGTCAGCTGGTTGGCGTGCTCTCTGGCCGGTTTACGTTGTGTTTGCCGTTCGGGTCGCATTCGGAACACTACGACTGTGTTCGGTTGGCACACTCGGTGTTAGGCCACTGCTGCCTCTTCAAATCACCAATCTTCTCCTCTTGCCATGAGAGAAGCGCGGCCTGAGGGAAACGGACTCTAGAGCCCGGGGGATATTCCCGGAACCAGCGTATCATCCTGAGTTGTTTCTTGACGGCCCCGGGGCCCGTGTGGAACGGCCCCCGGAGCCCGAAAGTGGCAAACAACTCTGGGACTCCATTCCCTCAGGACTCGTTACCTTCACTGGCGCGCTCCGGAATCCTGAATCAAGCCCCGAGTCCCTGGGGGACGCATGTTTTATCTCCGCCGGCTTCCGCGGACCTTCCGCCGTCTCCCACCAGCGGACCGCCTCCGTTTTACTTCTGCTGGCTTCCGCTGGCCTTCCGCAGGCTTCTGCCAAGGAAGACATGACAGCCTTTTGATCCCTCGAAGGCGAGGCCCCTTGTGGAATGCCCAGCATGGCGATCCTCCCCTGGGGGCGGGGGCCTTGCGCAGCAGCCTGATGCTCCTCTCGTAATGCCACGCCGCCTGGGGGCAGAGCACGGAAGGCAAACGAAGTGCGCCAGTGCAGGGCAGAGAGAGAGAGAGAAAACAGAACAAAAAAAAGCAGGAAGAGGAGGAGGGTGATGACTCCTTCCCCCTCTTCCTCCCACTCCTCCTCCCCGCTCCCCTTCTTCTCGTACCCTTTTCTGTCCCCATCAAAGTGCTTGCACTTAGGGGCTCTTGCTCGAATCACCGGAGACTTGGATGCTCCGCCGAGGTGTTCGCCGCGTCGCCGCCCGTGGCCCCCTCGTGACCGCACCGTTGCCGTCCGCTTTGAGGGATCCGCCGAGGCTTCGCCGCGTCGCTGCCCGTGGCCGCCTCCTGGCCACCTCACTGCCGCCCACTTGGGGGGGTCCGCCGCGTCGCTGCCCCTGGCCGCCCAGCTGCCGCTCGCAGGGGGGCCGCGCAGGGGCTCCGCCGCGTCGCCGCTCATGGCCGCCCGTGGCCGCCTCGTTGCCGCCCACTTGTTGGTCGAGTCGCCGAGGTTCCGCCACCTCGCGGCCGCCTCGTTTCTGCCCACGTGGAGGGTCCGCCGAGGTCTCGCTGGCAGCCCAAAGTTTACACCACACAGCCTGCACCACATAGCTTACAGCGCATAACTTGCACCACATGGGTTACACCACACGAATTCTACATTCACTGTGTGATAACTGTCTGTTTGGGACCCACGCTGACTAACTCATTATACTTCTGGCTATCCCCCAAAGCAGCGCTTGCACTTAGGACGGGTCTGCCGAGGTTTCGCCTGTTGCCCTGTTGGTTGCCAGTCGTGGGCGCATCGAGGGCATCCCCTGCACTGCGCGGTTTCACCTGGTGCCTGGGTAGTGGCCCGTCAGGCGCCTCGTGGGCGCGCCATGCGCTGGGTGGATCCGCAGGGGTCTCGCCTGGTGACCGCCCACGGGCGCCTCGTGGGCGCCTCGTGCGCTGGCTGGCTCCGCCGAGATGTCCCCTGGTGGCCGCCCGTGGGCGCCCACGAGTGATCCGCCTGCACATAGCACAACCTAGCTTGCACCACACAACTTGCACCTCACAGATTGCACAGCATGACTAGGACCACATCGATTGCATCACATGGCTCGCATCACAAAGTTTCCACAGCCCAGCGTTTGCCACACAGATTGCGCCACACAGCTTGCACCTCATGTAGATTGCAACACCTAGCTTGCAACATGAATTTGTACCACATAGTTTGTACCACCTGTACTGCACCACATAGCATGCACCGCTGATGTTGCACCATGTAGGTCGCACCACAGAGAGAACTCATTCAGCCAAGTCTATGACTCCTCAAGAGTAGAAGCACCCACAGGGTCAACGCCGGAAAGCATCATCTTATCACTAGCCCATGTGTCCGAAGGATGTATCATCGCCCTTTTCTGTCTGCTCCTTCTTCCCATCCACCCCCGTCTCCTCATCAACACCTCTTCTAACTCCCCCGATATCCTAAGTTTGTGTTCTTGTGAGTTGCGTCATGCCTGCGTCTCTGTACGTCAGTCCCATTTGCTCCATCCGTTCATCACTTCATCACTTGTGTTCAGGCTCATTGATACTTCGACCCTCTCGCAGCCAGTCGTTCAAAAGTCAGACCCACTCATAGCTAGATCCACTCATACCCAATCGCTCGTAGGCACGCACAAGCCCCCTCGTCATGACTCATGCCCGCTCAGACGTTCCCATACCTAGGCCCACCCATGCTCATGTACCACCCAGGCTTGTTCATATCCAGAGTCACTCATACTCTGCTGCCGCGAGTTAGCAGGCATCCCGTTTGGACCTTCCAGAGGGTGACCAGCAGGCAGGTTTCCGCTGGACTGCTCGTGCACAGGCTGGTGGGACCTCGAAGATTCAAGACCCGCTTCGGGACGCACGCGCGTCCTCGGGACATCACGGTCACCGCGAGGCAGCAGGCATCGCGCCGAGGCCTCTGAGAGGGGGAGCCAGCAGAAGGCGCTCCACGAGCCCGCCCGCGCCCCCAGGTCCCTGGGGCCTCTCGGACAGCGGCTCCGTTCGGGGACGCGGCCGTGTCCCTCGTCAGAGGCCCCCGATCGCCGCGAGATGGCAGACATCGCGATTCGGCTGTTCAAGGCGAGCCAGCGGGGGGGGGTGAGGCGCACTCCGCGGACCCGCTCGCGCCCAGAGCGGCGTGGCCTCTCGGTTGGAGCGCCCGCTTGAGAATGTAGACGCGTCTTTCTTCGCAGCCTCTCACCGCGAGGCAGCGTGCACCACGCTCGGGCTTCCCAGGGGAGCGCCACAAGGGCGTGATGCACGAGCCCATTCGAAACAACACTGGTTGGGCCTCTGACTTAGAACGCCCAAGCTGTGGCATACTCGGACCCACTCATGCTCAGGCTCACTTACACTCAGACTCCTTCACACTCAGACTCATTCGTATACCGAGGCCATGACCCAGACTCACACAGACTCAGCCACTCAAAGCCGGACCTATTCACACTCAGAATTCACTCGTACCCAGTCACCTGTCCACTGATTCACACACACATTCAGGCCTACAAATACTCGGCCAGTCATACTGGGACTCAATGGGGAAAAACAGGAAGAAACAGAGGACGAAGCGGAAGGTAAGAGGATTGCGGGGGAGGAAGAATTGGAGGCAACGCGGACGAGGAGGAAGCGGAGAAGGATGAGGAGGGGGTGAGAGGGGTGAGGAAAACGAAGAGCTGGAGGAGGAGGAGGAGGAGGAGGAGGAGGAGGAGGAGGAGGAGGACGACGACGACAACGACGCGAGAGGGAGGGGGAGCGCGCGTAGCAGCAGGGAGGAAGAGGACGGGAGGTGGATGGCCTCAGGTGGTGGAGGAGGGGGGGAGGAGGAGGAGGAAGCGAGAGAGAGGAGGAGGAGGAGAGGAGGAGGAGGAGAGGGGGGGAGAGGGAGGAGGAGGGAGGAGGAGGGGAGGAGGAGGAGGAGGAGGAGGAGGAGGGGAGGAGAGGAGGAGGAGGAGGGAGGAGGAGGGAGGAGGAGGGGGAGGAGGAGGAGGAGGAGGGGGAGGAGAGGAGGAGGAGATGGAGGAGAAGGACGACGACGACACGACGCGGAGGATGAGGGGAGCGCGCGTAGCAGCAGTGAGGAGAGGAAGGGGAGGTGGATGGCCTCAGGTGGTGGAGAGGGGGAGGAGGAGGAGGAGGAGGAGGAGGAGGAGGAGGAGGAGGAGGAGGAGGAGGAGGAGGAGGAGGAGGAGGAGGAGGAGGAGGAGAAGGGGAGGAGGAGGAGGGGGAGAGGAGGAGGAGGAGGAGGAGGAGGAGGAGGAGGAGGAGGGAGGAGAGGAGGAGGAGTAGGAGGAGGAGGGGGAGGAGGAGGGAGAGGAGGAGGAGGAGGAGGAGGAGGAGGAGGAGGAGAGGGGAGGAGAGGAGAGGAGGAGAGGAGGAGGAGGACGCCGACGACAACGACGCGGAGGATGGAGGGGGGCGCGCGTAGCATGCAGGGAGGAAGAGGACGGGGAGGTGGATGGCCGCGGGTGGTGAGGAGAGGAGAGAGGAGGAGGAGGGGAGAGGAGGAGGAGAAGGAGGAGGAGGAGGGGGAGGAGGAGGAGGAGGAGGAGGGAGAGGAGGAGGAGGAGGAGGGGAGGAGGAGGAGGAGTGGAGGAGGAGGAGGGAGAGAGGAGGAGGAGGAGAGGAGGAGGATGAGGAGAGGAGGAGGAGGATATAATCAGCAAGCGAAGGCGGGGGCGGGAGGCGGGAGACGGTAGCGGAGGGGAGGGGCACCTTTGAATGATCCCGTCCGGAAGCCACAGCGGCGTTGGCCAAGCCATCTGCCCGTGGGTGTGGGAGCTTTGCCCCTTGGCGGCCACTTCGCCCGCTCGCATCTGTCCTGCGAGCAGAGCGGGGTCGCCCCGCGCAGCCAACTGCACCTTGGACTGTGCCTCACAGAAAGCCTGCCTCTGGAACCTGGGCAGGCTTTCAGGCAGAGTCTCGAGCAAATGCCAGGCAAGCCTTGCGCATGCGGCCTCGCGCGTGCGCAGGAGGAGGACGGAATCAGCAAGCGAAGGCGGGGGCGGGAGGCGGGAGACGGTAGCGGAGGGGAGGGGCACCTTTGAATGATCCCGTCCGGAAGCCACAGCGGCGTTGGCCAAGCCATCTGCCCGTGGGTGTGGGAGCTTTGCCCCTTGGCGGCCACTTCGCCCGCTCGCATCTGTCCTGCGAGCAGAGCGGGGTCGCCCCGCGCAGCCAACTGCACCTTGGACTGTGCCTCACAGAAAGCCTGCCTCTGGAACCTGGGCAGGCTTTCAGGCAGAGTCTCGAGCAAATGCCAGGCAAGCCTTGCGCATGCGGCCTCGCGCGTGCGCAGGAGGAGGACGGGGGGAGGGGGAGACCGCTGAGGTAGCGCTGTACCAAAACGGAGGGGGGAGGTGTCTAAACGATCCCAAGTGCGTTCTAGGAGGTCAAAAATGTGTTCGATGATTCCAAGCAGTTTGCAGGTGGGCCAGGGACTTTTTAAAGGAGGCGGAGGAGGAGGAGGCAGGAGAAGAGACGGAAGAAAAAGGGGTACAGAGGACGAAGGACGACCAAGGCGTAGGGAGGAGGAGGAGGAGGAGGAGGAGGAGGAGGTTGATGAGGAGGAGGAGGGAGGATTAGAAGGTGAGGAAGCTCGACTGGGAGAAGGAGGAGGGAGAAGGTCGCGGAGGATGGAGGAGTGGAGGAAGACGCAGAAGGGGAGAGGATGGAGAAGGGGAAGGAGAGAGGAGGAGGAGGAGAAGGAGGAGGAGGAGAAGGAGGCGGAGGAGGAGGAGGAGGGAGAAGGGAGGAGGGGAAGAAGGAGCAGGAGGAGGAAGAGGGGGGGAGGAGGACGGAAAGGAAAAGAATGAGAGGAGGGAGGGAGCTGCAGGAAACTGATGGAGGGGGGAGCAGCAGGAACGTGCCTGGGTGTGCGGAGGCGCTCGGGCGACGAAGCGGGCGGCGCACCCCCCCAACCCCGGCGCGGCTTTGCACGGCGGCGGGGGGCACCGGGCACGCCGCCCCTCTCCGTCGGGAAGCCCGACGGGCCTGGGCTTGGCAGCCCCTCACTGCATGGCGGGCTCGGCGAGGAGCCGACTGCTGATCGCTGGGCCGTCGTCGTCGTCGTCGTCGTCGTCGTCCGTCGTCCGTCGTCCGTCGTCGTCGTCCGTCGTCTCCGTCGTCCGTCGTGCGTCGTCCGTCGTCTCCGTCGTCCGTCGTGCGTCGTCGTCGTCGTCGTCGTCGTCGTCGTCGTCGTCGTCGTCGTCGTCGTCCGTCGTCCGTCGTCCGTCGTCCGTCGTCTCCGTCGTCCGTCGTGCGTCGTCGTCGTCGTCGTCGTGCGTCGTCGTCGTCGTCGTCGTCGTCGTCGTCGTCGTCGTCGTCGTCGTCGGGGGTGAGACGCTGACAGGGCAGGAGCTGTCCGCAGAGGCCCCCGGGTAGCTTCAGGCACGATGGCGCCTCTCAACTGAGGACGGCCATGGCCCCCGCCTCCTGGGCCGCCACCTCCTCAGGGGGGTCCTGCCACTTGCCGTTCTCCTTTTGAGGGGCAGCGATATGAAGAGGCATCTCCTGGCAAGTCTTCGTGAAAACTATTACAGGCTATTGCTACTAGCCCCGATTAGGGGGCCATGAAGCCAGACCGGCCCAGGTGAACGTCAGAAGTAAGCCCGACTAAGCGGAATTTGACAGGATTGAACGTGACAATGATGGATTTGGCTGGTTTCGACCACAGATGTACCAGCGCTGATGCTGAATCTGACGTCCCAGGGGCTGCATCCTAAGCGATGGGGGGGGGGGGGGCGACGGTCGGCAAACGAACCCCAAAATTCTTCTGGGCGAAACCCGTAATTCCGCAACAGGCGAAACCCAGAATCCATCCAGCAAAACCTGGAACCCCCCAAAAGCCAAACACGGAATTCGTTCCGGCCCAGACCCGGAAGCCCCAGAGCCCAGAAACGGAATTCCACACCCAAAAACGGAATTTCACGAGAGCTGCAAGGTCTCGACGAGATTTGCGTGATACCCCATTCCGCTGGACCAGGAGCCCACGTGAGCGCCGACAATTGCGCAGTTCGCAGACCCCCCCGGGCAACCGCGAGATCTCTACGGGGCTTGCACAACACACCAGCGCGCAAGCGAGGCGACACTTGCGCAATTCGCGCCAAGGAACTGCGAGACCTCGACGGGTTGCGCGTGACAGCCCACTCTGATGGACCTCCCAGGAGCCCAATAAAGTGACCACAGTGGCGTAATTCCCTTGCATGCGTTTTTCCCTATCTTTGTCCACGAGACGCCCTGACTCGGAGAACTTCCGAGCGGATCGGCAGTCCTGACACTCGGAGTTCCCAATTCTAGGGCAGGCCTGCGCGGGCCGATGGGCGCACGGACTGGCAATGCCACGGGTCGTAAAAAAACTCCTCCGCTCGACGCGCCAAGCGGTAACGCACGGGAAGCGAACCAAAACTACTGCTCTACTCTACTCGTCACGTGGCAACGCTATGGTACGGACCCCCCAGGGCGCCGCGAGGTCCCGAGGTGATCCGCGTTGGACGTACCTCCGCTGGGCCTCCCAGGAGCTCACGAAAGTGGCGACAATTTCACAGATCGCACTCCCCCAGGGCGCCGCGAGGTCCCGAGGAGATCCGCGTTGGACGTACCTCCGCTGGGCCTCCCAGGAGCCCACGAAGGTGGCGACAGTTGCGCAGATCGCAGCCCAACGGCACGAAAGAAGAGGAGAGAGGAACACAGGAAACAGGAGAGGAGGAGGGGAGGAGGGGGGAGGAGGAGGAGGAGAAGGACGGGGCAACCACACTGCTCTATTCAAAACGAGTACCCAACCATAGGAGGGTTGGGAAAAAACAGCTACTCACCACGTGTCGACGACTTGGGGGAGAAACCAATCTTACTCCACTCTGGGCGGGGCAACGCCACGGGGAGAAACAGATAGCATTCCACTTGACTCGCCGCGTGGCAACGCCTCGGAGGGGGGGGAGGGCGGAACAAAATGCTCCGCTCGATGCCCTGATTTCGAAGCCTTCCACGCAGATCAGCCACACCGACACACACTCAGAACTTTGAAGTGTAAGGTCGGGCAGGCTTGCGCGGGCCGATGGGCGCGCGGACCGGCACTGCCACGGGGCGGAAAAGAAACTGCTCCGCTCGACACGTCGAGCGGCAACGCACGGGGGGCGAGATAAAAACTACCACTCTGCTCTACTCGTCACGTGGCAACGCCGAGGGCGGACAAACATACGAATCTGGTCTTACTCGTCACGTGGCGACGGCTGGGAGCGAAAGCATGGCACTCCAATCTACCCGCCACGTGGCAACGACTTGGGGGAGAAACCAAAATCCACCATCCTCCGGGCGTGACGTGGCAACGCCGCGGGGAGGAGCAGACAGAATTCCACTCGACTCGCCGCGTGGCACCGCCTGGGGGGGGGGATAAAACCGTGCTCCACGCCGTGCCCTGATGTTGAAGCCTTCCGCGCAGCTCGGCCACACCGACACGCTCCGAACTCTCGAGTCTGGGGCAGGCCTGCGCAGGCCGACGAGCGCGCGGAGCGGCAGCGCCACGGCGCGGAAGAGAAACAGCTCCGCTCGACGCGCCACGCGGCAAGGCGCGGGGGGGCGAAACAGAACGACTGCTCGACTCTGCGCCACACGCGGCAGCAGGATCCCCGGAAATCCGGGCCCGAGCCAATTGTTCGCCCGGGGCCGTTTTTGACGAGCCAGGAGCCCGTCGAGGACCCCCGTGGAGCGAAAACGCCGCAAAAACTCGGGTCGTAATCTCTTCACGACGCTGGAGACCTGGCCACCCGCACTCGATCCTGAGATGCCGTCCGACAGAAACTCGATGGGGAACCCGACAGTGGACAGCGGGAACGCCCAGGGAGGCAGCAGTGGCCCGCGGCGGGCGGGCGAGAGCGGGAGCGCACGCAACGCGCGCGAGCGCGCAGTCGTCTACGTCGTCTACGTCGTCGTCGTCGTCGTCGTCGTCGTCGTCGTCTACGTCGTCGTCGTCGTCGTCGTCGTCGTCGTCGTCGTCGTCGTCGTCGTCGTCGTCGTCGTCGTCGTCGTCGTCGTCGTCGTCGTCGTCGTCGTCGTTGTCATGGTCGATCGTCGTCATTGTCGTCATGGTCGATCGTCGTCATTGTCGATCGTCGTCAATGTCGATCGTCGTCATCCGTCATCGTCCGTCGTCGCCGCGGGGCCGCGGAGAGGAAGTGCAGACGGCGAGAGGCCTCTGTTATTCGGCGTCTCGACATTGGGCGGAAGGGGGCGAGGGGGGGGCGTCCGGCTCTGGACCTCTGCTTCGCGCGACTGTTTGGAACCGTGCGCCCGATGGGGGAGACAGGAGGAGCAGGAGGAGCAGGAGGAGCAGGAGGAGAAGGAGGAGCAGGAGGAGCAGGAGGAGCAGGAGGAGCCGCTCGAAACAGGCGCCAAAAAACAGCCAAGATCTACTCCATGGGGGGGGGGGGGGGGCGAAGGCCCGCGCCGATCGGCAAAACAATGCATAACAGAACGGCAACGGAAAGGACCACGGATTTTCGAGTTGGCCGATCGGCATTCTGGGTTTCGCGTTTCTGCGGAATTCCAAGTTTCGAGGCGAATTCCGGGGTTCAGGCCGATTCCGGTTTTCGACCGAACAAATTCTGGGTTTGGGGCCGATTCTGGGGTTGAGCTCTCCACCGGGGGGGGACTGGCCCGGGGGAAGAGGGGGGAAGAGACATCGATCTGGAATCGGTGATGCGTCGCCGATGAATCGGCACTAAGGCCCTCGGTGACGAAGCCGCAGGTTCCCAGGGGCGATCGGGGGTCGATGCTGGAGCCCATTTCCCCCTGTTGGTGCCCCTGATCCTTGATGAGGTCGATGAGCGTCTCCACGCCTTGCTCCGAGGGGATGCCTCGCTTCACGCAGTCGTAGTTCACGTAGAGGTCTATCTTGCCGACGCCGCTGCCGACATAGCCGAAATCAGCATCCGCCATCTCGCCAGGGCCGTTCACGATGCAGCCCATGATCGCCACGCGGACGCCTGGCAAGTGGCTGGTCTTCGCCTTGATTTTCGCAGTGACCTCCTGCAGGTTGAAGAGCGTGCGGCCGCAGGAGGGGCAGCTGATGAACTCCGTCTTGGAGATGCGCATGCGAGACGCCTGCAGCAAATTAAAGGACGACTCGATCAGGTCCTTGGCACCCATGCAGCTGGCCTCCCACAGCATGCCTTCGCCGTAGCCGTCTAGAAACAGGCTGCCGAAGTCGGCGGAGGCGCGGATGACGAAGTCATCCTCATCCTGGCCGTCGGCCGGCGGGTAGCGGAACCACAGCATCGTGGGCAGCGCCCTGCCGGCGTCGACGGAGGCCAGGGTAGCAAAAAACCTGCGGCCCAGAAACGTGACGCCCTCCTGGCTCTCTGGCCGCAGCAGCAGCAGCCGCGGGCCCACATTCTCGAGGGCCTTGGCGACCACGTCGGCCGTCTCCTCGCCAGTGAACACCAGCGCGTGGCCGCCGATGCGCTGAGGCAACGGAGCGCCGGCGGCGGCGGCTTCCGCATCGTGCAGGAACGTGACGCCATCGGGGACATTGCTTCCGGGCCAGCAGAGCACACCGACGGGGGTGTTAAGAAGCAGCCGAATCTTCTCGGCCGCCTCCAGGGGAACAAAAAGTGGCATAAACATAAACTGTCGGAGGTCCGCGCGGATTTCTTGTGGATCGGCGCTGGACCCCACTCCCTGGCGCTTGGCGCCGCCACGACTTCTTCTTATTATTATTCCAGCTTTGCTCAAAAGCTCAGGACGAACAGGACGAGGAGAACGAGGACGAGGAGAAGGAGGAGGAGGAGGAGGAGGAGGAGGAGGAGGAGGAGGAGGAGGAGGAGAGAAGGAGCAGCAGGAAAAGGGAGTGGGGCCCAGCAACAATCAAAGAAATCCGTGTGAACCTCCGAAGGTTTATGCTTATGCTGCCTCTGTTTCCCAGAACCTCGCAGGAGACATCCCCGCCTACCACGACGCAGTCGACGCTCTTGAAGTCTTTCTGGGCGTCGCCGTCCGCCCGGAGCCGCAGCCTGAGCTGGTCGCAGAGGGCTTCCTGCGTCAGCGCCGCGAGCTCCTCGGCGCCGATGAAGGTCAGGACGGACCCGTCCTCAGATGAACAACCAAAGACAAAAATATTAATATTTCGTAGCTCCGCGCGGATTTCTGCCTCCATCGTCGTCGTCGATGTCGCATCCGCGTCGCCGTCGTCGGCGTCGTCGTCGTTGTCGTCGTATTGCTCCTCCTTCAGGATCGGCGACACCGGCCGTAAGGCCTTCGCAATGTAAACTTTCGGAGCTCCGCGCGGATTTCTTGGATCGGCGGCTGGACCCCCCAGGGCGGCGTCCCCAGTGCCACCCCTGGCACGTTCCGCAGGCCAGGGAGGGGGGTTCAGCGCCGATGCAGGAGATCCGCGTGGAGCTCCAAAGGTGCATGGTGTGGCCGTCGTTCTTTGTTTGAGTCCTGGTTGAGAGGCACGTCGACGGGGAACTCGCACCTGCCGATACGCAATAAAAGTACTCCTACCCCTGTGGGAGGGGACCCAAGTAAGGGGTTGGCCAAAAACATTAGGGACAGGGAATGTGTTTGGGAGATGTGCCTGACTAAACCACCATGTTTGTGGATATCTCGAGAACCGTGGACCCGAGTTAGGCCGCGAATTCACAGTGCCGTCTGGGTCAGGGGTGGCATTGTGCTTCACGACCTGCGGCGGGAGAAGACGCCGCTGCGGCGGGCGCTGCTCTCCCCGGGGGGCGCGCGGCCGCCCCTGTCCTGGGCTGCCTCCGCCACGGCGCGCAGCGAGACGCAGGGCTTCGCCTCTCGGGCCACGCGACAGTCAGGAGGAAAAAAAACACACAGACACAGTTAATCGTCGATCCCCTGGAAAATATGGGAAAATATGGGAAGTGGTGGGGAAGACAGAAACCCAGAAAATATGGGGAAATATGGGGAACATGTTTGTTTGTGTGTATTTATTTGTGTGTCCTGGGGCCCCTTCAGACAGGGGGGGGGGGGGGCGGCGGGGGGGCCGGTGCGTGGGGCGGGTTCCGGAGGCCCCGAACCCGAAGATGCTGCCATCGCTCTTGGGGGGGGGGGCATGCTGTACCTCCGCCGCCGTCCGCCGAGCTGCCCCCAGCTTCCGCCGGCGGAGCTGCCCCCGTTTCACGTCCGCCCTCCTCCGCCACCCCTCGGCCGCCTTCCGCCGAGGAAGAGGCGGCAACTCCTGCGACCCTCGAAGGCGAGACCCTGTCTGAAACGCCTCATGACACAGTGGGGCGGCGGTGGTGCTTCAGCTCACGTAGCAGGAGGGCGAGGCGCAGGGCTTCGCCTCCTGGCGCCATGAGGCGCCGCTGTTTCGAGGAAAGCGCTCGGCGGAAGGGCCGAAGCGAGCTGCGAATAGCAGATTCGTACCCGCCCACCCCCATTGCCCCGTCCCCCCCTCGTTCGTCCGTCCTAGTCGTCTAGCGTTCGGGTCATCACTCGGGTCTCTGGCTGGCGGCCGTTCGGGACGATCCGCGCACCCCGGGAACGCTCTAGGCGAGGCGCACCTGCTCGGAAGCATCCCGAGGCTGGAAAACCGCCGAGAGCATATCTCAGGCCCCCCACTCGCCCGACCCGAGCCTCGTGCTCGGGGTCCTCGGTCAGCGAGACGCGGATCGTGTCGCCCAGCCCGTCCATCAGCAACGCGCCGATGCCCACGGCGGACTTGATGCGACCGTCGGAGCCGCCGCCAGCCTCGGTGACGCCCAGGTGGAGAGGGTAGTCCCAGCCCAGCTCGTACAGCTTGCGCGCGAGGGCGCGGTAGGCCTGGACCATGACCTGCGGCGGCTCGAAGGAGTCGAGACGGCGGGTCGTGTCCTCGCCTTCGGCCTCTGGCGGCCAGTGTCGGGGCCCTGGACCATCAGGAGACTGCTCGTGGGGAAAAACCGGCCCCAGAGAAGGGGTCGAGAGGTCTGGGGGCCCACGTTTCACAAACAAAGGGCCTGAGGCGGCCTGAGGGTGTCGAAATCGAATCGGACCGGCCGCGCCAGAATGCGATGCAGCGCCATGCAATCATCGGGCCGCATTGGATCGTCGGAATACCGGAATCGAATCGGATCAAGGCCGTCGAAATCGCTATCGAATCGGATCGGTCGGATCGAAGCGGATCCTGCTGACCTGCGGGTTGGAGGACTTCATGCTGAACATAAAGTTGTGGTAGTCGTGCTTGCGGCAGATCTCTGCGAACTCCAAGGCGGAGGCGACCATGCCATCCGGGGAGTCGCCGTACTGGAACAGGATGCGCTCCGAGAGGGAGCCGTGGTTCACGCCGATCCGCAGGGCGGCGCCGCGCTCCTTCAGCTTCAAGACCAGGGGGACAAACGACTCCTCGATGGCCTCCTGCGCCTCCTGCATGGCCTGGTCGTCGAGCTTGTCGATCGTGCCGAACGACTTCCGGCCGTCTGCGAAGTTGCCAGGGTTCACGCGGACCTTGTCCACGTACTCCGCGCACCTCAAGGCGACCTTCGGCGTGAAGTGGATGTCGGCCACGATCGGCGTGTGGTAGCCGTCCTCGTCAAGGCGCTTCCTGATGTGCTGGCACGCGTTGGCCTGCTTCATGCCCTACACGGTGATGCGCACGATGTCGATGCCCATGTCGGCACACTTCTTGATCTGCGCCACCGTGGCCTCGACATCCTCCGTGAGTGTGGTGGTCATAGTCTGCGTGGCGATCCTATGCTCGGAGCCCACCTTCACCCTCCCGATGTTCACCTAGAGGAAGAGCAAACGGCATCAACCTTAATTGTCGGCGGTCCGCGGACTCTTCTGGGATCGGCGCTGGCCCCCCTCCCTGGCGCGCGGAGCGCGCACGGGGAGACGCCAGAGGCGCCGTCAGGGGGGCCCGGCGCCGACGCAAGAAGTCCGCGCGGACCCTGGGAAACTTATGCTCGTGCCGCCTGCTCTTCTTCGAGGCGCTCACCGTCCTCGTCCTCCTCCGCACGCACGCCTCCACCGACTCGCAGTAGCCGCCCGCGGCCGCCCCGAGCGGCTCGGCCCCGCCCGCCTCCTCGGCCCTGGGGCTGGCCGTGAGGCGGGCGCGGCCCTGGCCCCGGGGCATCCTGGAGCGGAGGGCCCGCTGCTGCTGCCTCTGCCTGGGGGGGGCCGCAAGAGACGCCATTGCGCGCCCAACCAAACACACAGGAGCAGTGCCTGAGGACCAGGACACAATCGGTCCGTGACAGATCGGGGATCTCTGGGATGCGGCGGTTCTGAAGGACGGATCGGGCGCCACGGCCGTTCCAGAGCGCTTTGAACGCGCTGAGGGGTCCTGGAACGCTCTGTGGAGCGATTTATCGCGGTCCTGGGCCCGCCTGCCCCCGAGTCCGCAAGGCTAGGCTCGCGTTACGAACGCTCGCAGACTTTCGAAGCCCACAGAACTTCGCGCGCGCGCGGGCACAAACTCTCGACGTCGGCGCTGTCCGCAGAGGAGATCGGGGAACACGAGGGTTTGGGGGCCCCTGCATGGCCCCAGATCTGATCGAAATCTGTGCCTCCCCCCGAAACGCCAACCGCCGCACTTCAAAATGGTTTCCATCGACCGAAACTTCGGCCAGCGCCCATGCGCACGTGCGCCAAATCTGGGTGAAATCGGCTCGTTCCCCCGAAACGCCAACCGCCGCATCTCAATCTGATTTCGATCGACCGAACGTTCGACCAGCATCCAAGTGAGGGACGGAAACAAACGGGTCTTACGCGAGATGACATAGCAGCCTCACGCGGTGGCTAACGCGGGCCGCCATCGTGGCACGCCGCATTGGAGACGAGGGCCATTGCGCGCGACCTTACGCGGGCAGCTTACGCGCCAGTGTCGGCGCAATCGACACCGCCTTCGGCCAGCGCCTATTTGGCACGCCCGGCATGGGTACGGACAGAAATGAGTACGATGCCTAACAGCAGGTGTTAGCCGAACCCGACAGCCGCCGCTGTCGGGCGGGTGGCCTTCTGTCTCAAATGGACGACGCCCGCGGCGACACCGACAGCGAGTCCTGTCCAGAATGGACAGGAAACTCTGTCGGTCTTCGTACCAGAATGTCGGCGCAATCGACCCCGTTTGTGGGGAGGCCGAAAGATACCGGTACCGCTGCTCCCCGGACCTCTCCCAGGGACCGGGGGGCGTTCTGACCAGGATCTCGAGGCGAATCCAGCGCTGGCGACGAGGGCCTCCCAGGAGGCCCAAGAAGGGGAAAACGAGGCAAGGGTAGCGGTGTGAGTACATCTTCCTCCTCTGAGCTCTCGGGCGGCGCCCATGTTTCAACTGCACGCCAGGGTGACCCTGGGCAGGAGCAACCTCTGGAGCGCGGCTTCTGGGACCGAACACGGGCGCGCAAGACGCTCCCATCGCATCGCGCTCGGCAGATCGGGGGAGAGACCCCCCGAGGGCCCGTCCAGTCGACTGCTGCACGTGCGTTCCCTCTGCGCTCCCATCGCTCCGCGCTCGGCCATCGGGGGAGACCCCCCGAGGGCCCGCCCAGTCGACTGCTGCGCGTGCGCTCCCCTCTGCGCTCCCGACGCGCCGGCGCGCGCGCCGCCGCCCCGCCAGCGCGGCCGCCGCCGCGGCCGCCAGGGCGGCCGAGGCCCGGGCGCCCGCGGGAGCCCCGCCCGCCGAGCGCCCGGGCGGCTCCGCGGCGGGCGGCGCCGCGGCGGGCGCGCCGCCCCGGGGCGCGGCAGCCTCGGAGGGGAAGAGGAGGAGGAGGAGGAGGAGAGGGCTGTGCTGCCCTCGCCTCGCTTTCCCCTTCTTGGGCCTCCTGAGAGGCCCTCGTGGCCCTCGGAGGGGAAAGGAGGAGGAGGAGGAGGAGGAGGAGGAGGAGGAGGAGGAGGAGGAGGAGGAGAGGGCTGTGCTGCCCTTTGCCTCGCTTTCCGCTTCGTGGGCCTCCTGGGAGGCCCTCGTGGCCACCGCCGGATTCGCCTCGAGGTCCTGGTCGGAGCGCCCCCCGGGAGAGCTCCGTGGAGTGGCAGTGTCGGTACCTTAGTCTCCCCAGGGGGAGAAAGAAGCTGCACAGACTGTTTTGTCAGCGGCGGTTTGCGTCCAGGACGCGCCCGGGACAACCGAGGGACGCTTCGGAACCGAATGGGGCACAAAAGGAAGTGAAGGAGGCGCGGAGGGAAGAGGAAACCGCGGACGGCGCAGCACACTGAGACCGTGAAGATCGTGCACGTGTGTGCCAGAGCACAGGCCTACACGGGCCGCAAGCCGGGAGTGATGGAGCGAAGCTGCGTACGTACCAGGGCGGCAGGTTCACGAGATGCCGGTTGTCGCAACTGGGAGGCGCAGCTGCACACGCACACCTCGGGACCTTGTGCTTCGCGTGTGGCGACGGCGGCCCCAGCGACACTCTTGGGCCCTGCGAGCGAATAGCGCGTCGCTCCGCCTCGCGGGACGGAAGAGAAGAAAAGCTCGGCACGCGGGCGCCTGGGGGGGGCGCGGAGTACATAGCGTGTCGCGCCGAAGCGAGGTGGACCAGGATCGGCGGCGCAGCACGCCAAGCCAAAGTTCCTGATCGTAAACTTTCGGAGGCCCCAAGATGGCCCAAGAGGCTCCCAAGACGGCTCAAGTCGGGCCCCGAGACGACCCCCGAGGCGGCCTCCGAAAACGGAACCGACCCGCGCTGATGTTTTGGATCGGCGGCCAGGGAGCTGGCCGGGAGGTCCACGGGAGCCCACGGCTCAGAAGAAGCGCGCCGCGGGATCTCTGGGCTGACGGGCCGCGAAGAGGCGGACCCCCTGGCTGGCAGACACCAGCTCCTCCTCCCACTCGGCATCGTCGTTCCTCGTCCTCGCCCTCGTCTCCTGCTGCTGCTGGTGCTGCTGCTGCTGCTGCTGCTGCTGATATTGCTCTTCCGCGTTCAACCTCCTCCTCCTCCTCCTCCTCCTCCTCCTCCTCCTCTTCCTCCTCCTCCTCGTCCTCCTCCTGACGCTGCCGCCGTCGGCATGAAGGTCGATATTCGACGCTGCCATCCCCCCCCCCCCGGAGGCAGGCTGTGCCGTTGCCCCTGGGGGGAGTTCGCCCTAAGATATCCACAGCAAGAAAATTACCAGTAGTGACATTCTACTGGCGAAGCTTTCGGCGACAAAACGCCAATCAAAAAATAAACGATATCGACTAAACATGAGTGGCGTAGCGTTGGTAGAGGCGCAACGCTAGTGGATTCGTAATTTAATTACGAATCCACTCGGCGGGAGAGCCACCCCCAGGGGGGGGGCGGAGTGCCTGCGTCCTCCGACGCCCCCCAGCAGGAGGCAAGGAGGAGGAGGAGGAGATCGATGGAGGAGGAGGAGGAGGAGGAGGAGGAGGAGGAGGAGGAGGAGGAGGAGGCAAGGAGGAGGAGGAGGAGGAGGAGGAGGAGGAGGAGGAGGAGGAGGAGAGGAGGAGGAGGAGGAGGAGGAGGAGGAGGAGGAGGAGATCGATGGAACGGCGACGACGGAGGGCATCGATTAGTGAAAAAGGATAGAACGGGGAGGGGAGCAGGTCGGAGAGGTGGCGGGGGCTGGCGGCGACAACTACGGCGGCGTGGCGGTGCTACTGCGCTGGTCACCAGAAGTGGGAAGGCTTGAGTGCCTCGCCCCTCCAGGCTTGAGTGGGGTTCCGCTGGAAGCGACTCCCTGCCCCACCCAGGGTACCCACAGCCCGCGAAGGCGGGGTCAAAGTACCCAGGGGCGGGACGGGGGACCGTGTCGGGGGATGCCCACCGGCTGGGGGGAAGCTCACACCTTCCCTGGCGGCGGCTGGTGGTTCCAGCGCCCCCTTGCAATTCCTGCCAAAGGACACCCGCCGCCCACCGAAGTTGGCAATCACCTGGGCACGGCGAGGGGCGGCGGTGAGCGCAGAGGTGGGAAAGCTCGGCGGCGGTGTTCTAACTACAGGAACCTGGGCGAGGCGAGTAGAGCTGAGGGCAGCTGAGGCAGCTGAGACCAGCGCGCGACGTTGGGAGGGCTGTTCGCGGCAGTGGGCCACGGCCGCCCTGGCCATAGCCAGGGCGACCGTCGGCAAGTGGTACCCCTCTGCCCCAACATAATCCACCCCAATCCCTCCTCGGCGGCGGCTGAGGCGACGCTGGGAAGGCTAAACATTCGGAGGCTGGTCGAGGCAGGGGAAAGCCTGATGCCTGATGAGATGCTGCGTACAAGGAGGTTAGGAAGGTGTTGGGAAAGCTCGGCGGTAGCGGTGAGAGAGATGGCTGCTGAGTGGCGCGTGGTTGGCGGCGGCGTGGCAGTTGGCCGCGGCCGCCCTGGCCCTAGCCAGGACAATCAACAACGAGCTCCCCCCCCCCTCGTCCCCACTGGCATCGCCGATCCTTCCCCTGCACCGCAAGAGGAGGTAAGTGCAGTTCGTGGGGCGTGCGGTGGGCGGGCCTTGCGGGCGAGTGGGGGGCCACGAGAGAAGGTTGGGTAGGGAGGTTCACGCTGGGGAGACTTCCCGGGGCGTAAGGGAACGTTCACAAGAGCAAAACAATGTTATCCCCATCCGTTGGCAAGAGGTTGGTAAATGCAATCAATCCCGCAGATGATACAGTTCGGCCAATATCCACCCACCCACGTAAGTTGAAGTCGCTGGCACCCCT